TAATTTTTATTTCTTTCTAAGGCTTCTCTCTTCAAATAATAATTCTGACGTTGCGGTAAAGAAATGAGTGTAAACTGTAATCTATCATTAAGGAACAGATTTCATTAAGGGAAGAAATATTTATCTTCATTATTGTAGTTGTAGGAACCCCACCCAGCGCACCCACCCAGCCCCGCCCTGCCTCGCTCGGCGATCTGTCAGCCGCGAACCTGTTATTAGTCTTGAATGAAAAAAAACAACAACACCGAAACAGGAAAGTTGCTGCAGCTTTTGACCTGACGAATGTGCGTACATAGGCAAAATTTCATCATAATTGTGTTGCTCATAGTATAGCTACGTAGTGAATCAAACCTCGCTACCATGTGTCAAACTGTGCTTTGACAATTTATCGTATATTATAATGATTTGTAAGTAATCTATGGTTTTCTGATCACTTCCCTTAATATTATTGCACTTCAGTGTTTCGAAATACGTTCAAGAATATCAAATGAATGAGAAAAACGTAAAGGACAGCGAATTTCAAAGAAGGGCGGAGAATCGCAGGAAAGGTGGTAAAATGTGATTAAATTAGGAGAAATTCAGCAAAAATTAAGAATGGTGTAGTGGAATAGAGGACAATAACGACAAAGTGAAACTAGAGGTGCTAATGCAGCTTTGCTTCGTAATTCGATTAGATTTAGATTTATTTACTCAAAAAACAGTAAAAAATGATTAGTGATTGATTGATTATTTCGTGTTTCCGGGTGCATCAACTGCTAAGGTACGTTATTCCCGTACGTGTAGTGCGTGTTAGTGATCGTACTGTAGCGATGACCTTCCCGCGCTGGATGGTGAAATCTGGCACCAACCTTAAGGTCGCCATGTGGAAGTTATTTATTTATTTACATCAAAAACAGTTTAAAACATTGTTACGTGCTATTGGGAGAAGTTGAATTGAAGTTACATTTGCTGTAGTATACTGTATCCATGGAGTATACCGTATCAACGTATATCCCACTAACAGGACACCGCCCCAGCAGGGAAAAGCTATATGCTCCCTACTGCTCTCCCGACACGTTTGGTTGTGGCGTGCATATAAGTGTGGAAGGGGAGAGGATCAGTCGGCAGAGTGTTAAGGCACTGCTTCGCCTCGTGATAAACTAAGAAACAACGGAAAATTACCGATCGGGGTAGCCGACCGCTAGAATTCTCCTCCAGACAGCGGTTGAATTCGACCTAGCTATCCAGCTAGTTTCGAAAATCCTGCCACCTACGACCTCCCGGTTGGAAGCACTGCAGGAACATCAGTCGATGCCCTTAGCCACCTCCATTTGGCGGGTCGCGGGCGCGCCCAATTCAGCGAAGAAAGTTGCGTCTGTCGAGTGGGCGTGGGCGACCGGACTGCTACTCCTCCGACTTTTTTCCCCACCCCTTTTTCCCCACTTTCTCCTCCCCTTCATGTCACCTGGGATTCCCCACGACTTGGCTCGACTTTGTCGCGTGTGGCTCTCGCGGAAAGAAGATTATTCCTGGGCTATCGCCTCGGTTATAAAACCTTAACCGCAATCTCAGTTGCTTTTCGTAATTGTCGGTTGCGGGTCGCCCAACCCCGCGACCCACGAGTGAAACTATCTCTGCAGTGGCGACACGTCTGATGACACTCTCGACTCTGGGAACTTGGCGTAGTATTTCAACCGCGACACTTGGCTTTTATATACGATTTATTTTGCAGATGACCACATAACTTTTAGCACATTAGACTATACTCTCCAAATAACTGCCCATCAACGTTAAAGAATAGGAGAAAACTATAATTTACAAATTTCATGAAATACAACCAAAGCCACGTTATTCCAGGGTAAAAATCATTTAAGGTGTTGAATAGTAATTACTGATAACAATTCCAAAAATCTACAACCCGAGAGACTACGACAACTACAACACTACGTGAAAAAAGTAGGAGCAGACTATCAATTATATATTTATATATGTATATATATGTGTGTGTATATACATACATATATATATATATATATATATATATATATATAGAGAGAGAGAGAGAGAGAGAGAGAGAGAGAGAGAGATATTGTGTAAATATCCTGGACCAATAGTTTACCAATAATGGAATGCATTATATACAATTTAGAAATACATATACAGCAGCGTGCGACCCACAAGTTTTCCAATAGAACCGCCAAATGAAGTTAAATAAACACGAATTTAAGTGAAACAAACGTAAAAGAGAATTTCATATATAAAATTACGATACAAGACGTGACTTCAGAAGAATGCCGCGATTATTAATTTGTACATGATTACAACTTTACTAATTCATAATACAACAAGAATTTAAGGAAAAATTTACTCTTTATTCTTAAAATAAATTAAAGAAATACATTAGAATAATGCTCATATATGATACACAAGTGCCATATTAAAAGATGTAAAATAATTTGCTGCTTGTTTCGACGTGAGCACCGTCTTACGGAGCAAGTATTCATACGGAACAAGATATTACATGGGTCGGTGCTCTACCCTGACTATAACCTCTTGCATGCTGGACAAGCTAGCCATTCCTACTAACCTTGGCAAACTGAAGTAAGCTGACTATCCCTTTGGCATAACTACAATCAAATTCCTATATACAATTTATGATACACGTAATAGAGCGTCGTAATTGGGTAAATTTATGTAACGAGGTGATAGCAATACTGGAGATTTCGAGTGCAATATTAACGCAACTAACGCAATGTTCAGGACATGTGATTCGAGGTAGATTTGGCTTAGGGATGAAAGCCTAAAAATTTGGTAGTTTTAACATAGCTGACAAAACGTATGGTGCTAAAATAGCACGTACATTCTCGTCCATAGTTACACGTAAATTTACACGAAAAGTAGGTAGTCAAATTTTCGAAAAATTGTACATGATCTTATTTCAAAACCTATCCTTAAGGAACAGATTTCATTAAGGAAAAAATATCTATCTTCATAATTGTAGTTGACTGTCTGTCTATCCGTCTGCGAACAACGCTAGCGGCTAAACCGTTCAGCCGATTTTCTCCAAAATTGATATTGCCCAATCAATTTGGCAAATGTTGCGGCCCCTTGAATTTGAAACCGATATTTTAATTTTGAAAGATACCTTACATCAAGCCAATGGTATGTTTTTAAAGGTTTTTTAAGGTTTTAAAGGTTTAAAAAAAGGGCCCATCGTTTATAATTAAATTTTATTGTTGGAGAATGTGAAGGACGTTTAAAACAATGGTGCAGGTCTCATTTTCGTTAAAAACTCTGACTTTTTGAAAACTTCAAAAATTCGAAATTCTTTCTACAACTTCAATTTTGGAGATAGATATTTTCCCTTAAAAAATCTGTTCCTTAATGATAGATTTTGAAATAAGGTCACGTATTTTTTTTTAATCTTAGTATTTTTCACGTAATTTTGCGCGTAAACACGGGCGAGAAAGTTCTGCTATTTTAGCACCACTAGTTTCTCTTCTGTTCTTCAAGACAGTTTCCCAGCATTCACAGTGTACTAGCTAGATGGGATTGCTCTACATTCTTTAAACTAATAGTCCTCGCCGTGGAAGCTTTCGAAGTGGACAGAACTATCATAGTTAAACTTCAGCAATTTCCTTGGTGGGGCGGTTCCCTCAATCCATATTGGGAGCTCCTTAAACAGGATTTTCTAGTGTTTGATTGTTATGTATATGGATCTGGATCAGTGGTTTCAGTTTACTATAACCGAAAGTTCACTATATCCGGAGTCAAATAGAATGTCGTTTTTAAATACCTGAACATCACCTTAAAATCTCTTTCAAAATTTTTCTTTGATTTTTTATTCGAATTGAGTAGTGATTGCTCAATAAAATGAAATAGATCCGACTATCATTAAAACGTCTGCAACTTTCATAATTCTGTTTTGTAATTCGAAGGATTGCTCTTAATTGATGTGCTCTTTCGGTTCCAGATAATTTGCAATTATTGATTGAAGAAACTGAAATAAACTGCTTTCTATCTATATAGTTATCGTGTTTCCTCGAGATCATTTACTCGAAATACTTTGGATTTCTTTTAAGAGAAATCAGTCTCTTAAAAGCAAATTTACAGCATTTCGCATTCTTTAAATGAAATATTAACATCATAACAGACTTTATTGCAATAGAACAATCAAAATATATATTTCACGTCTTTTTTTTGTTGAGGAAAATATTCGACAAAATCCTGATATGAGGGGATGATCAACGATTGCAAATCTCACGCAAATTTAAAGTATTAAGTTCTGAAATTTTATTAGTATTATTTTGTCGTGAAATACATTTAAACAGTAGGCGGCTTGTTCGGCGTCGCTCTTTCTCTTTGTTGACATTTTGAAGAGAAAAATGCAGAGGTCGGAGATCATTCATTACATTGTGTGGAATATAATTAATAACGTATCTCGTAGTATTATAAGTACATGCAAAATCGGGCCTTTGGGCTTTATAATACACCGTAATGGAATTGGAGAAAGGCGAGAGGTTTAATCCCTCAAAGCATGCTTCCTAGAAATCTCCTTAACTGAGTGGAACATGCTCGTATTGGCTATGTGTGCTCGATGCACCAAATTCATTCAGAGAACGGACTGTATATTGAATCCTAGAATTCGCAGAAAAGCGATGCAGCAGCAGTTGCGTCAAATTGGCTCCTCAATCCCACGTGTAACGTCTATTAATTGGTAGTGCAAAATTAGAGGGAATATTCATTATTGGTCTTTATTATTTTATTACGACTTCTATTACTACATTTTGGCTATAGCAGCGCTTTAGCTATTCTTCAAATAATTTCGTAGAAAAATACAAACTACTGTCGTACTGAGAATGCGGTCATTGCACATCAAGTAGAATTATGAATGAATTCTTCGATTTCTTCACATTTTATTGGTTAAGTGAGAGAAAATTAGGGATTCACTACATTAATGTGAATGTGTACATTCTCGAAAGTATCGACGAAAAGCATAACTCACTACCATTTTATTTCAGAACCTTTCGACACAGCATCGTGGATGCTGGTTGGTGTCGTCGCGATCCAGGCTGCCACTTTCACTATCTTTCTCTTCGAATGGCTGAGTCCGTCTGGATTCGACATGAAGGTAAGAAAAACTGTCGCAGAATGCAGCGTTTCCGATTAGGCCAAAAAATATCAAAATGTACTTATGTATTTTTGGTTGCGTTTTCAAGCAATAAAACACCCTGTGTTGTAAATATATCGTAGTATAAAATAGTAAAAAAGAACTAGGATGATACGTATTCGCATTTATTTACAGTTCATTCAATTCAAATGAAACAATTCAATTACAATAATAATTATATATATATATATATATATATATATATATATATATATATATATGACTTTAATATCCGACTAGTGGTGACACCACAGCACATACTTTCTTGCATTATTTTTTTGCTGTTGCAATTTTCAACAATTTAGAGAGTTCAACTAGAAAGGGACTGGCGATATTTTAAGTGTCCTTTGCTCTACCAATGAAAAAAAATTAAAGAAGAAATATGAAGATTTTTTGAAAAAAATATTCCTTGCATTGCTTTCATAAGCAAAAAATTGCTTGTTTTTTTTCGGAAAAATAATTGTTTATGACCTTAATTAAAGATCTATATTTTAGAAAAGATTTCATTAAAATAAAAATCTCTATATTGTACTTTTGCAACGTTATTAGTTTGCAATTTTCGAAAATTCTGAGAGTTTGTCGAAAATGGAACCAGAACATTTTGTTATCGTCTTTTGACAAATACGGAATTGAAAATTAAAGAAAAAATGTATTTTCCATTTCTTGATCCTTTTTTGACAAAATAATTGTTTACAAACTGACATTTCATGCAAAAGTACGCATTTGAGAGTGTGACTTCGAATCTGGGAGGGAAGCAAACGTTTTTGCTGGTCGAAAACATTTTTGCAAGTTAATGTAATATTATAATATTGAGTAGCTGTTACAAGTAGTGGGAAAAAGTATTTGACGTTGTAGCACCACTAGTTTAATAATTTTCAAACCCAAATTATGGTCATGTAACGGCCTCTTGAAAATTGCAAATTTTTGTAATGGTTAAATTCTAGATTAAATGACGGACAATCGATATTCTACATCCGAACGTGTTTGACACCAAAAAAGGATTGGTTCATGTGACATTTTTGCAATGTCAGTATTAATTCGATAATCTCGGTTTATTCTTTAAATGTAAAACAAGGAGAAATAATTAAATTACCTTCATTTTTTCCTCTGCAATTAAAGACTTAAGTTTCACGTTCTGTAAGTTTAAGACAAATGCTAAATATCCATATTTTTCTAATTTTGTGTTTGAAGTGACTAGTACTGACGGAATGTCCTCTACTGATGCCGTCACCGTATTTTGTTTGGCCCTTAACGACTTCAAGCTATTTTTAAAATTTATAGAATCTGGTTGGGACAAAGTTTTACAAAACAGTATCTAAAATGTTACATGTAAATGAGAAATCTCGGTTTACTAAACGACATAGATCAAAAACCAACAAATATTTTTAAAATCATTTCAATAGCTTATCTCTAATTAAATATATGTAATTTTCCTGTGTGATTCGCTGTAAACATAAGTTGTATGAATAGAGCAGGAAGGATAAATGACGATTGTACTGGCCTAGTGCTTTATGTCAAGTGGAAGTTGGGTGCGGCCACACGGACTCGGAGTTTTTCGGCGATATTCGCGTTGTTAGTGCCAAGTGGGAGCAGGAGCTGGGAGTGAAAGCTCCTTGTTGATTGGACCCGAGTGACCATCAATTGGGTCCCTTCCCGTCGACCAGAAAGCAGAATTGGGGATATGACTACAGCCATAAACTCGTACATAGGAGTTCAACGGGAGAATTGAAATCTCCACGTTCGGTTGCCTTAATTTACGTCGGTACTCGCGTCGTTAGTGACAATGTAGGCGCAGTGAAAAAAATTAAAGAAGAAATACGAAGATGTTTTTGAAAAAATATTTATTGCATTGACTTCATAATCAAAAATTTCTTATGTAGCAATTTTTGCTCATGGTTGGGTGATTGGGGTTTTTGGGTGCGGGGGGGGGGGTTCGAGCTGCCCGCGTTCTGGTCCCGGTGGTTCCCAGTTAGGCTCTCGACTTTGTCGGGGCAGTGCCCAACACTCGCCGGTAATTAAGTAGGGATTTCTGAGTGGCGCTTAATTCGACCCCAATGCTAGTCTGGAAAACTAGTAGCCCTTAGCTGGCGGGGTGGCTCCACCCAGGCTTAATTGAGGGGGGGTCATTCCGTTGGGGCGCTACGTTCCGGCGAATCTAGCCTCCAGGCTGACGGATAATTAGCACTATGTGAAGGGGGAGTGGATTAGAGATCCAAGCCAAGAAAAGTAATCCACCTCATATCACATACCGTCTACAATGTTTTTTAACGCAAGTACATAAATTTAAAAGTACTTACTTCAAATATTTTATTAATTATATTTATTTAAATAATTCACCTTAAAATGTATGTATTTTTGGAAGTATTCTTTGGAAAATATTTACGTCACCTAACACCTAGTAGTTACCACGATAATACATTTGCATACATTTTGTTAAACAATTTCCTTAAAGTTTATGCAGAAATAATAGTTTCTCTTTCGGTTATACTACAGTATAGTATACTATCTTAGCTTTAATATTTTCTTGCCTGCAATTTCCTTAACTGGTGAAATTAATATTTTTAATAATTTGGTGAAAGAATATTTAATTCATATGCTTACAAATACAATATTCTTTAATGATATTCAATGATTTATTTATGGCGCATTTTCCAGATCTTTAAAAGTGAGTATTCCCGAGAAGTCAACACTGTTCAATGTTCGCCAGAATTGTATAGTATTTGGTATCATTTTCATGGTAATCAAGAAACAGAATCTTGTTCATTGTTGTGTCTGACGTGCCGGCTAGCTAAGGGCTGTGCGTGGGCCTACGCTTAATCCCTACGCTACGCTAGGTAAGAGTTACATGTGGTGTCCATGACGCATTCCCTTCTCCGCATCAGGCTAACTCGACGAGCCTGCGCTTTTCTTCGTCACAGAGCTACAGAAATTGAGACTATTTTAAAGGAAGGCTACAACTCTATTTTTTGCCTCGATCGGGAATCGAACGTGGGACCACACCACGGGAAGCTAGAGCCATCCTAGAAGCTTGTAAAACGTAAACAATTTCAAATGGTGCAACTATTTTAAAACAATCCCAAAAAATGTGCCGCAGCACATTCTTCGTTCGTGCATATTTGGCGTAGGAAATTATCAGTAGTGTCATGAAAAAAATTACCACTTTGTTTTCACATAAACCAATCAATTTCTCAACCTTTTTAATATAACTAGACCTAAGCGTTTTGACCAAACTCGAAAATCAGTAATGATTTGAAACCAGCAAATGGGTGATAAGTGTTTTCGAAAATATGAAACATTGATGAAGGAAATGTGGAATGACTATAGCAGCAACGAGGGAATCCCGAAGGACCGGGGTTTGAAGTCCGGTCCCAGCGGTGGAAGGAGGGAGGTATGGCCGCCACCTGGTCGCCACCAAGCAATTACTTCGATTTGTCTATAGTGGCCGATGACATTAGGTCATTGTTACACCCCTGTCTTACAAAATGAATAGTTTTAATTCATTCGCGAACGTCCTTCTGAACGGGGCTCGTGATCTCACAAATGAACTAACCATTGTTAAAAAGATTCATTTTATAAAGCAACAGGTGTAGCAATGATGTAATGTCATTGGCCAATATAGAAAAGTCAAAGTATATATTTCGATTAAAATAAGACGGAGGTTGTCAGCCGTGCTGTGCGATTTGGTTACATTTATTTCAAGTGTTTATTTTCGTGTCACACGCTCAGTGGTACGCAACCTGCCAACGTCGCTTCTGTCCACTCGCAACTGTCAATCACCAACTTCTTGTCATCGGGCCGTAGGTGGCTGCTGCCCAAATGGAGCCGCCACTGATTGGGTTCCGTGGACTGTTTCAGCAAACGGCGCCGTCGCCCAACCACCGCTTCTCGCTGTTCCGCACCTACTGGCTGGTGTGGGCGGTGCTGTTCCAGGCCGCGGTGCACGTCGACTCCCCGCGCGGCTTCACGGCAAGGTAGATGCTGCCCGCTGCGGGCCGGCTGGCGCTGCGCCGGGCAGGGCGTCGGCCCCGCTCGACCTCCCTGCCCCGGTCGACCTCCCTGCCCCGCTCGACCTCCCTGCCCCGGTCGACCTCCCTGCCCCGCTCGACCTCCCTGTCCCGCTCGACCTACCTGCCCCGCTCGACCTCCCTGCCCCGCTCGACCTACCTGCCCCGCTCGACCTACCTGCCCCGCTCGACCTCCCTGCCCCGCTCGACATGCTCGACTCCTCCATCGATCCAGCTCCACGTTCCGCCCGATCTCCCCGACCAGAGGCGGAATTAGGGGGAGGGGCAAGAGGGGGCAAATGCCCACCCCAATGTTGGGACAAATTAAAAAAATATATATTTAGACATTTCATTTCGCCGATCTTCAAGTTTATATTGCAAAAATGAACTTTTTTCTGTATTTTGAAAATAATTTAATAATTAATAAACGAACAATAATGATATTAAGCTGAGCTAATAACATATATTAATAAATTGGTAAACTTTAGTTCAGTATTATATAATGGGAGGGATAATGTTCAGCGTTGTTGTGAATATTCCGTATCAATAAATCATCTTTCAAATATATTTTGCATTTAAACTTTATTTGCTAAGAAATTATACAGTTTCATTCCTAAAATGAGTCATAACACTCGGAATTAACTCTCAAAAAGAAAGGGTATATACCATTTATGATACATGGTATTCAAATTTGTAAATATAAAACAAAGTCCAATACTATATACATAGTATTACATTTGTAAGTCATGCATCAAATACATATTGTGTGCAATACAGATAATTAAGAAGTAAACTGCTTAATACAAGCATACTGCATACTGGTTTTCGTATATTTTTATTAAAATTAATATTATTTAAGCGGGGAGAATTTAAATTATTTTTTATAAAACAGTTATTTTAAATGTTTATAAATAATACTTAACCCCCTAATTCCCCCCCCTCAGTAAAGGATCCGAA